AAAAAAAAAAAAAAAAAAAAAGGAAAAAAAGAAAAATATTAATTGGCATAAGAAAGAAGATACTCATACTGTTTTGCTAAATGAAAATAAGGGCACAAAACAGCTTGTATTAAATGATAACATAATTGTGTAAAAAAATACACACATTAATACATTTAAAAATAATTGGAAGGACAAATATAAAAATATTGAAAAAGGTTGTTTCATTTTTCTTCATGTTTTTGTGTGATTTCTTGGTTCTCTGAATACAGCCTGAATGACTTTTGAAATTATGGAGAAAAAAGATTGGGTGGGGGTGGGGCATGAAGAATGTACCTTCATAAGCACCAAATTCCATGTCCAGGGTGGTTTCATACCTTCCTGGAAGGGTTTGTGGGATTCCCTCAAAGGGAGGACTGAACCTGCAGTGGACACCGGTTGTTTGCTGCTCAGTAGCCTGAACCCTCTCCCTGCTATCCACCTGGTCCTGTGGTGGTCAATCACCTGACCCAGAAGTGGGACTGTAACTTAGGCAGGCCAATCTGAACACCTTCTCCCTCTGACACAGGGACTGGTGCAGAGGGGCATGGGACCCATATGGTGTCACAGCTTTCCCAGATTAGTGGAAGCTAAGACAGTCTCTTTTCTTTTTAAACCTGGAGCTGTAAATTGATACACAGGCTTCAACTGCTAGCAACCATCTTTCTTGCCTAAAGGACAGAGTCTGGTGAGAAACCCACATATACACAGAGAAACTGAGGCAGGAGAGGGGAGAGAAGAGTGCCAAGGCTTTGATGATAATGTCCGAGACACTGGGGCTAACTACACTGGCCTCAAGTTGGCCTTTGGTCTTCTTGGTAGTTATATGAGCCAATCAATTCTCTTTCGGTTTACACTACCTAGTTAGGTTTCTATTACTTGTAACCAAGAAAGCCCTGAATACTGGGCTCTAGGTCATACCAATTGCTTCCATACCTTCAAAGTCATCAGATCCAAGCCACCAGGCAAGATGTTAAAGACAGCCTGCCCAGCAGTGACCTCTTGCAGGATCTTCAACACCCGTAAACACTCGCTTACCCGCTGATGCACCTGCAACAGAGACAGTCCCAGTGGGAAATGGAACACTCCACAACCGTCCAGCGAAAATCTCACTCATGTACAGAGCCAAGGAAGAATACATAGGAGTTTGCCCACCCACACCTTAGCAAGTACCTTGGGTGCCACGTCCTGAGAAAGGCTCAGCTACCTTGCAGCTCACATAAGCACTGCCTAACAACATAACATACACAGCCCTGTTGTTCCAACTCCACCTACCTAACTATAGGGCTGTCAGAAAGATCCAATGAGATGATGTATATGAAAGCATTTTAAAAACAAAAGGAATTAAGAACGCTGTTATTAGCAATCTAGTACAGGATTCCACTTGTCCATTCACATCACACATCTATTGTTTTTGTCTCCCAAGCACTTACCCCCCTTCCTTCTTTTGTTAACCCTGCCCTTTGAGGACACCCTTCCCACTCCCATTCTAACAATGCATTTCTGATTGGAAGGTCTCATTTTGTTACTTCTCCCCAGGCCTGGAATCCCTCTCCAGGATTTTTCAAACTGCAGTTTTGCACCAAGGTAGGGGACTGAGGGAGCAACTCAAACACAGCCCTGTTCTCATAGATAACATGAACATACACAAGCTCAGAGCTGTCAAGAGCTGTGGTTCTGACGGGATGCCATGGCTCACACCTGTAACCCCAGCATTTTGGGAGGCCACAGTGAGAGGATTGCTTGAGCTCAGGAGTCTGAGACCAGCCTGTGCAACATAGCAAGACCCCATCTCTGCTAAAAAAAAAAAGTTGTGTGGTGGTGTGTGTCTGTAGTCCCAGCTACTCAGGAGGCTGAGGTGGGAGAATCACTTGAGCCTAGGAGGTTGAGGTTGCTGTGAGCCATGTTGGTGCCACTGCATTCTAGCCTGGGTGACAGAGTGAGACTCTGTCTCAAAAAAAAATAAAATAAAATAAAGTAGCTGGGCATAGTGGTGCATGCCTGTAGTCTCAGCTACTAGGGACGCTGAGGTAGGAAGAGCTCGTGAGCCCAGGAGATTGAGACTGCAGTGAGCCATGATCATGCCACTGCACTCCAGCAGCTTGGGTGACAGAGCCAGACTTGTCTCAGAAAAAAAAAAAACAAAAACAAACAAACAAAAAAACCCCATGGTTCTAACCTTAGAAAGTAAGCCAGTTTGAAGATAAGACCCACCAACCAAAGGGATCAAAAGAAATGAGGATGAAGAACAAACCCTGATGGCATTTGAATCTGGTTCCAATTGTTCTGCTCTTCCTATAGTCTACCTATATGAGCTATCAATTTCCTTTTTTGCCTAAGTAAGTCTTAGATTTCTAAGTAAGTCACAGCAGTTGCAGGAGTCCTGATTAATATCCTATGTATTTCCATTGATGTGGCAAACTCAGACCCACTATGACTGAGATTTCAAGAGAGGGTTAACTAAAAGTCTTGCTATCAAATATAATAGACAGAGGACAGGCTCACTAACTCTTCCTCCCCAACTGGCACAAACTTACCTGGGGATTCCGAATATGAAATTCCTTCTCCCCTTCCTCAACTCGACGGAAAGGGATCCACTCCTCCTCCAGCGATTCACTGGTGGGCTGGTTCTCTTCTGGGGCCTGCTTGCAGAAATAGGTGGTTGCTGCTGACCGGTCCCTGAAATACACACATTATCAGAGAGAAACCAGAAAACATTCTTGAGTTTATTTTCCCCTTTACCAACTCCTCCCTTTCGTCCAAGAGCCTCTATATATCACCCTTTGGCTAGCAGGGAAGGAAATCTGGGAGATAAATAGGAAAGTGGAAAAAATATAGATTTTAGAGATAGAATTGGGTTTGAATTTCAACTCGGTGTGTCACTTTTGGGAAATTATTTAACATCTTTGAACCTTGGTTTTCTCTTCTTGAAAAGGTGTATAATCCTGGCTTGCATGGTTGTCAAGAGGATTAGAAATAGTACATTGATAGGGGACTAGTCTATATCTTAGCTCACTGTAGGCACCCAATCCATGGTGGCTCATCCCTCACCTGTGCTCTGGCACAGCAACCACAAAGCCACGTGAGGCCAGCTCCATGCAGAAGGCTGAATACAAAGTCCTGGAGATTCAAAAAGGAACAAGGAAAAGGGATCAAAAGAACAGCCCAGCCTTCACCCTCATTCCAAACATGCTCTGCTAGCAGCCATCTTGTGGAACTACCATATCAACCTTAACTGTCTACCTCTGGCTTCCTTTCACTTGGGAGAGAAATAAACATTGCTATATTGAAGTCACTATTATTTGGGGGTTTTCTGTTAAATACAACTTGCCCAATTTCTAACTGATACAGGGAGGTCAGGTTCTTAAGTTCCTTTTTACTTTCTCCCACTTTTCCAAGGAAGGCAGTGAACTGGACTTTAGAGCCAGAGAGATTTCCAAACCCTTCCCAGTTCAAACTGTGTAACTTTGGGCAAGTCTGCCTTCCAGAGTCTGTCTGCCCAGCTGAAAAATGGGCATCCCTGCCTGTCCACCTCACAGGGCTATGTGGGAACCAAATGAGACGATGGTACACTGAGAATGGTTAGGTATTTAACTGCACATATTCCTCCCTAGGATAGGAAACCATAGGGCCATGACCCATGGGAAGGATTTCAGAGCCTGAATTAACCACAGATGCAATGAGGGTAAACAATGTCCCTTATCCTCCTTTCCTTTTTCCTTGGAATTTCACTCTGGTTAATGAAGAATATTTATAACTGACTTGCCCAAGTCTAATGAAGTGTGAAGTCTCAATACAGACTCTTAGACCAAAAGGACCACCTCCAAAGTCATGTGCTCACCTGCTCTCTCCATAAATACCTGTTGGCCTAGGAGGAAAATGTTTCTTTGCTTCTTTTCCCTGCTAGACTATAATCTTCCCAAAGGCAGGAACTCTCTCTTCTTCACTACTGAATGCCCAGCCCTGGCACACAGCAGGTACTCAATTTATTGAACAAGAAACAGCACAAGGCCAGGTACAGTGGCTCATGCGTATAATCCCAGCACTTTGGGAGGCCGAGGTGGGCGGATCACCTGAGGTCGGGAATTCGCCACCCAGCTACTCAGGAGGCTGAGGCAGGAGAACAGCCTGAACTCAGGAGGTGGAGGTTGCAGAGCTGAGATCATGCCATTGCACTCCAGCCTGGGCATCAAGAGCGAAACTCCGTCTCAAAAAAAAAAAAAAAGAAAACAGCATCAAAAACCATCTAACTGCCTCTCTAACCTTATCTCCATGTTTATTCTTCACTTCCTGCCGTGGGCTACAGTTATGAGAGTCTATGTTCCTGCTCCTCTAGCAGATGCGACTTCCTTGATTTGTTAATCTTGGTATGTCCCACCTTCCTCTCATGCCAAGGGGCTGGCACAGAACAGGTGCTCCACAGATGTCTGCTGAATGAATGAGAACCTAGCGCACACACAGCCCTTGTATTCATTCAATAAATACTTATTGGTAAACAACTACTTTCCAGGCACTGTCCTAGGTACTGGAGCAATAGAAGACAGATGTGGTCTCTGCCTTCAAGAGCTTACAATACAGTGAAGAAGACAGGCATTACAGAATAATTATACGAGTAATTTATTTATTACAATTATGTTAAATGCTGAGAAGTATAGATTGTCTTATGAAAGCACATTCTGGAAAAATTAATATAATAGGTTAATTGTCAGGATGGGTGTCCCTAGGACAATGACATCCAAACTAAGATCTTGAAGGTCAACCGAAATTAGGAGGAAAAGAGGAAGAGGGGGAAGAGGAAGAGAAGAGCAGAATGGTTAGTAGTCCAGGCAAAAAGACCAATTTGTCTGGAGAGCTACGGTGGGGCAAATAGCAAGGAATGAGCCTGGAAACTTTGTCTTGGACCTGAATCAAGGTAAGACCATGAGAAGAACTGAATTAAGTTCAAAGACCTGTTAAAAACTTTAAGTAAGGGCCGGGCGTGGTGGCTCACGCCTGTAATCCCAGCACTTTGGGAGGCCGAGGCGGGTGGATCACGAGGTCAAGAGATCGAGACCATCCTGGTCAACATGGTGAAACCCCGTCTCTACTAAAAATACAAAAAAATCAGCTGGGCATGGTGGCACGTGCCTGTAATCCCAGCTACTCAGGAGGCTGAGGCAGGAGAATTGCCTGAACCCAGGAGGCGGAGGTTGCGGTGAGCCGAGATCGCGCCATTGCACTCCAGCCTGGGTAACAAGACTGAAACTCCGTCTCAAAAAAAAAAAAAAAACCAAAAAAAAAACTTCAAGTAAGAAGAGACATTCATTCATTCACTCAACAAATACTTACTGAGTACCCATTATATGCTGGGTACTGCTTCAGGTGCTGGAATGACAAGATCATATCTCGTTTTAAAATAGATCTCTCTGGCTACAGTGTGGACAATGGTTTGGGGGCTGGGAGGCAAAAACAGATGCCTTTGAGATGTGCAACTTTCTGGGACATAAACTAGACATACATGTTGATGGATGACCAGAGAGAACATTCACAAGCTTAAATAGGAACACATGTACTACTGTTATTTATATAACACACCAAGGTGAAGAAATCAGAATTCATGGAAGAATTCTAAATGAATAATGAAATTTAGGCCAAAGTTTCCCAAGTCTGGTAAAGGAGATCTTACAGTTCACCTCACCATATCCCTCCATGTAGAGAACATGAGAGGAGAACTGACGTGGGTGTGCACCTAGTAGGTGTCAATTGAACGGAATCCTCACAAACCGCCCTGTGAGAGCGGCATTCGTCTTTGACAGATGATGGAATCTAAGTTCAGAGAATTAAACAACCTTCCCAGGCTCACACAGAGCACAAGGGATATGGCTGAGATTTGCAGGTTAGGCTGCTGGCTCCACAAGTACAGGGAGCAAGTCTATTTTATTTGCCACTATGCCAGTGCCACACGCAGAATGGACCCTCATGTTGAATAAATGACTCTTGGTGGGACACGATGGCTCACACCTATAATCTTAGCACTTTTGGGAGGCTGAGGCGGGAGGATGGCTTGAGCTCAGGAATTTGAGATCAGTGTGGGCAATACACTGAGACCTCATCTCTGCAAAAAAATAGCCAGGTATGGTGGTACATGCCAGCTACTTGGTGGCTGAGGCAGGAGGATCGATTGAGACCAGGAGGTTGAGGCTGCAGTGAGCTGTGATCACACCACTGCACTCCAGCCTGGGCAATAGAGCAAAACCCTGTCTGAAAAAAATTAAATTAAAATAAATAAATAAATGACACGCTGATCACAAAGCTCATGCTCCTTCTAGCATTTCTGGGCTGTTACACAGGAAGAAAGCTGAAAGTGTATATTTACATAAATGCTGGATCATGAGAAGTAAAGCATACAAAGGCTGCTGAAAGGCTACACAAAGTTAAAAGGACTTGAAAAAAGCCTTCCGGAGAAGGTGAACCCATTGCTACAGGAGGAAGCAGATGGGAGATAAGAGAGCTAGCAGATGGAAATGTCTGTTTTTTTGCCCTTTGAGAATAAGCTAAGACTCAGCAGCTGTCACCAGGCAAGAAGTATGGCAAGGTCCAGGGGAAAGACGCTCTTACCTGAAGGCTCCTAGGCCGTGGGAGAAGATGATCAAGGGGTATCCAGAGTCCTTTGTCTTAAAGGGGCCATTCCAGCTAACAGGCAGGCGACAAGATCCTAGCAGAGACATGGGCTATAGAATCTCTGGCTGCCCCAAAGCTGTTATACCAAGGGCAGCCCGAATATAGGTATGGGTGGGGACATGTGTTTCTCCCTTCTGGAGAACCACTATGGGCCCCTGAACAACTTGGGGCAGTCAATCACCTATTTTTTTCTCCCTTTCTTACCTATGAAGAGTGAGTACAATAGAAAATGGGAAGCTAGGCCGGGCACGGTGGCTCACACATGTATTCCCAGCACTTTGGGAGGCTGAGGTGGATCACGAGGTGGATCACGAGGTCAGGAGTTTGAGACCAGCCTAGCAAACATGGTGAAACCCCAACTCTACTAAAAATACAAAAATTAGCTGGGCGTGGTGGCAGACGCCTGGAATCCCAGCTACTCGGGAGGCTGAGGCAGAACTGCTTAAACCCAGGAGGTAGAGGTTGCAGTGAGCCGAGATCGTGCCATTGCACTCCAGCCTGGGTGACAAGAGCAAGACTCTGTATCCAAGAAAAAAAAAAATGGAAAGCTAAGTCCGAAGGGGCAGTACTGAACAACTCTAGGGTAAACTGCTGAGTTGCCAAGGCAATGGGTGGAATTCCTAGGTGTGAGGCCTTTGGGGGAAGTACAGGGCTCAGTGTTACCCTACTCAGAAGAGGGGTGACTGGAGGGAAAACTGCAGGAGACTATGCTTCTTGATAGTTAAGAACCTTTCTTTAATACACACAATAGCTGGCACAGAGTGGGAATTAAAACATGCTGAATAAATGAGCAATCAGTGCCATTTATGGAACACATTCTATGTCCCAAGCACTGCACTAAAGGCTTCACATACATCCTGTACTACAAACCCGCAAAGGCAGGTATTCAGACAGGTTTAGTAACTAGCCCAAAACCCGTGGCTAGTAAATTATAAACTCTGGATTTGAATCCAGGAAAGTCTAACTCAATCACCAAAGCTCTTACATATGTAATTCTCCCCCAACTCTCCACACCTCACTGGCTAATGGATACCCCTTACAAAAGGCTGGACACTGCAAGCTGTAAGGTACTGTGTCCACCTGGGGATCTCCCAGGAACATAACCAAACAACTGGGAAAGCATGCGGAGGTCAGGCCAACCCTTACCCACAGCCAGGTTGAACAGCAAGCCGCCCCAACGCTTATTAAACTTCAGGTACTCGGCCAGGCCAGTGCAGTACTCATAGCGGGGAATCCACAGAGGTTGCTCCATGGTCTCCTCTGCCTCTTGGCAGGGGTAGAAGAGTCGAAAGAAGCTCCCCTGTAGGAAAGAAGAGAGCAGCTGCTCAGAGTAAGGAGCCGGGGCTAGATTTCTTAACAGACACACTCAGCAGGTGTTTGGGGCACCAGCAAAACAGTGAAACTTGAGGTTCAATTAGCATACCTGAATTTTACATTCAGAAATCCGGAAAGAAGCAATTTGATTTTTCGCATACATGTAAAGCTTATGTTATCTCAAATAGACAACTGTATTTTGAATTATATTGTGGGAGAGGGCACCAAAAATATTTGAGTGCTTGGGACAATTAAGATTTAAATCTGGCCCTAAGCCTAGGCCTGGAGGAACCCCAGGAGTTAAAGATTAGTCCGCTAACTGAGCCTAGGCCTGGAGGAGCCCCAGGAGTTGCAGATTAGTTCGCTAACTGAGCCTAGGCCTGGAGGAGCCCCAGGAGTTAAGAGATTAGTCCTCAAACTAAGCCTAGGCCTGGAGGAGCCCCAGGAGTTAAAGATTAGTCCGCTAACTGAGCCTAGGCCTGGAGGAGCCCCAGGAGTTGGAGATTAGTCCTCAAACTGAGCCTAGGCCTGGAGGAGCCCCAGGAGTTAGAGATTAGTCCTCAAACTGAGCCTAGGCCTGGAGGAGCCCCAGGAGGTAGAGATTAGTCCTCAAACTGAGCCTAGGCCTGAAGGAGCCCCAGGAGTTAGAGATTAGTCCTTGTGCTGAACAGGGTGGCACTGGTAGCTCATCCAGGTCACCACTAGGATGGCCCTTGGGAAGCAACAACACACTCATTTTACATGGGAGTAGATGAGGGGTTACTAGGAAGTGTGTGCCTCTCAAGGGAGACAGGAAGTATAAGGGCTAGCAGAGAAAGACCTAGGAACTGAGCCAGGCACAGTGGCTCACGCCTGTAATCCCAGCACTTTGGGAAGCCGAGGTAGGAGGGTCACTTGAGGCCAGGAGTTAGACATCAGCCTGGGCAACATAGCAAGACCCTGTCTCTACTATATATATATATAAGTATATATGTTGTTATATATCATATATATGTTAGTTAATTAAAAAGTCCTAGGACCTAATAGAGGACAAGCCCAGAAGTCAAAGATGGAGGGGAAAACAGATCAAGGCAGGAGAGAGAAAAGGAAGTTGTCCTCCTACCCAGGTCAGGGATCTAAGGCCAAAGGCACATGCCCATGGCTCTTCCTCTCATACACTCAGATTATGATAAGATCGAAACTTCCAAGATCAGGCATCTGCCCTCAAGAAAGGTGAGAGGATCTGCGAGCTGTCTTTGAAACTAGAGCCACTTCCCCTTTCCTCCTAGATGGAAAATGAACCCATTATCTCTGTCTATTGGGATATTTCTAATATTTGGAAAGGGGACGAAAAAGCTCAGAGAACACAGACCTGGAGGCTTAATAACCAAATCCAGACCCACTCTAACTCAGTTTCCCCCCATGAGAGTGCAGAATGAGACTTGTAATCAGTAAGTCACAGTGCCAGCTGAAGCAGTACAGACGGAAGGGAGCTGGGATCACTTACCTGGAGATTCTGACCCTCCATCACATCCCCACAGCCTACGAGATGCGGTCCTGTGACAGGCGGAAAGTCCACAGACTGGTTGACCCCCATTTCATCACCAGGTGAATCAAATGACTTGGTGGAGCTGAACTTGCTGGCTGGATGGCGGAACACAGAACAGCCTCTTGCTGGTTTCCTCTCGGCTTCCTGTTGCTGATAAGTGTCATCTGCCACCCTGTCCACCCTTCCTTAGCACCCCATCCCCCCTGCCAGTCACTCATTACATCTTGCACCTTCGACTTTGCTACATTGCTTTTTCCAAGGTTAGGGGGTTTTTATTCATTTTGCTGGGGTGAGGAGATGGCTGTGAAGAGGACAGAGAGCCATCATACTCCTCCCAGCCCATTAACAAATGTTTATCCAGCAGCTACTATGTGCGCAGCATAGCAGCAATGCTGCAGAGACTGTCACACTTGCTCTCCTGAGGCTAATAGTAACCACAAAGATCCATTATTTACAGTTAGCACTGTACTGACCTCTTTATAGACATTATATATATTACATCATTTCATTCTCTTAACAACTCTCTGAGGTAGGTACTTTTTTTTTTTTTTTGAGATGGAGTCTCACTCTGTCGCCAGGCTGGAGTGCAGTGGCATGATCTCAGCTCACCGTAACCTTGGCCTCTCGGGTTCAAGTGATTCTCCTGCCTCAGCCTCCCAAGTAGCTGGGATTACAGGCACATGCCACCGTGCCCGGCCAATTTTTTTTTTTTTTTTTAGTAGAGACGGGGTTTCACCATGTTGGCCAGGATGGTCTCGATCTCCTGACCTTGTGGTCTGCCCACCTCGGCCTCCTGAAGCGCTGGGATTATAGGCGTGAGCCACCGCGCTTGGCCTGAGGTAAATACTATGAAGACACTGTTTTGTGTGGGTGGGGTGGCTCAGGCCTGTATTTTGGGAGGCCAAGGCAGGCGGATCACCTAATGTCAGGAGTTCAAGACAGGCCTGGCCAACATGGCAAAACCCTGTCTCTACTAAAAATACAAAAATTAGCCGGGTGTGGTGGTGGACGCCTATAGTCCTAAGCTACTTGGGAAGCTAAGGCAGGAAAATCACTTGAACCTGGGAGGCAGAGGTTGCAGTGCACTGCACTCCAGCCTGGGTGACAAGACCCTGTCTTAAAAAAAAAAAAAAAAAAAAAGACCCTGTTTTACAGATGAGAAAACTAAGGCATAGAGAGGTTCAATAACTTTCCCAAGTTACCAGGTGGCAAACCCAGTTCTGCCTAATCCAGAAACTGAGTTCTTAACCATTACTGGTCCTGCTCAGGGGGAGAGTCAGTTATACATATGCAAAGTCAATGACTTAAGCTTTTTCTTAAAACTGTTTTATTTTTTGAGGGACAGGGTTCGTCTGGCTATGTTGCCTAGGCTGGTGTCAAACTCCTGGGTTCACACAATCCTGCCTCAGCCTCCTAAGTAACTGGGATTACAGGTAAGAGCCACCACACCCAGCTTTAAACTATTGAATATAGGATGGCACTTGTGCTGGGCCTTTACAGATGGGGAAATTGAGAGGCAGAGGAGGAAGAGAGCACTTATAGAAAAAACCTCAGAGGAAAAAAAGCAGAGATATGGAAAAGTATGATGTGAGCAGTAGATCAAATAGAAGCTTTCAGCGTGACAGCTGTGCATGCTCCTGACTAGAAAACATTCCTACGGCTCAGCTGCTTCCTAAATTGGGCCAGTGCTCCCCTATCCCTCTTCAATTTCATCATCTCCAACACCACCATCATCATCACACTTACTGTGTGCCAGCACACTTACTTAGTGCTTTTCATATATTATTTAATTTAATTCTTACAACAGTCCTCTGAGACATGTATTATTATCTCATTTTACAGACAAGGAAACAGATGCTTGACAAAGGCAATTTACTCAAGAACACCACAGGCAAGCAGAGCCAGAATTCGATCATGGGCAATGTGGCTGTAACATGAGAATGTCAAACTTCCCAGTATCCCTTGCCTTGTGATTTAGATGGGGATGACCCCTCCTTTACCTCCAGGGTTGAGCCTTCATTAACTGGAGTCAATCAGTCCTTATTCTCTGGTCAGTATTTGGATGAAGAGTGGGCATATGGCATTAGGTTGGTCCACTAGGAGTAACGCCTGGGACTTTGGTTTGATGGTTGAAGGGAGAAAGGTTCTTCCTTGTTTTAAACCAGTGTGATGTGTAGATGTTATCTGTCAAGTGGCTTTGAACCACTGCAGCCATTTTTGCTACCTTGAGGATGAAGATACCCATGGTGGATGGCAAAACTGGGAGAATCACAGAGAAACAGAGTCCCATTTGTGAAGACATTAAGAATCCACAGATTTGCCGGGCGTGGTGGCTCAAGCCTGTAATCCCAGCACTTTGGGGGGCTGAGGTGGGTGGATCACGAGGTCAGGAGATTGAGACCATCCTGGTCAACATGGTGAAACCCTGTCTCTACTAAAAATACAAAACATTAGCTGGGCATGATGGCGCGTGCCTGTAATCCAGCTACTCAGGAGGCTGAGGCAGGAGAATTGCCTGAACCCAGGAGGCGGAGGTTGCAGTGAGCCGAGATCGCGCCATTGCACTCCAGCCTGGGTAACAAGAGTGAAACTCCGTCTCAAAAAAAAAAAAAAAAAAAATCCACAGATTAGACCATACTTGAAACCTAACCCACTCCTAGACTTTCTAGTTACATGAGTCGATTAATCTAGTTACAAAGAAGTTCCCTTTCTTGTTTAAACCAACTGAAGTTAGATTTCTATTGGCTGCAACCAAAAGCATCCAAATGCATACACTGAGTCTGGGGTCCACATGTTAATGATTAAATTATTCTACTTTCTTTAAGATGCTCTGGGAGAGATTTGGGAGTTCCAGTCAAAGCATGTCTGAGTAAGAAGAGACCTAAGAGAGCATTTCTGTGAAGCCTCCCCACAATTGTCTTCCCCTTCTCCCAGTACATACACCTGCTTTACCAGGGAGGACACCAAAGTCCAGAGAGATTAAGTGAGCTGCTCAGAGTCACAAGCAGAACAATTATTACAACACACAGTATCCTTGTTGTCAGCTGCCACTGTCTGGTCTCAATAATCCCAACATTCTATTTAACTTTGAAAGATAATAAATTATTTTCTTTCTACTACAGATAATGTCTTTATTTTGTTTCTCTTCAGCAGAGACAAAAAAAAACCAAAACTCTTTTGAAAAAGAAGCTGATCTCCTAATGTCAGTGGGCTGTTCAGCCAGAGTGAAGGGGGATGAGCTCTGCTTAGCCTTGGACCCTGACCTTCCCCATGGCTTGTTGCTGAGGTATACACATGGAAGACCTACTGCTGGGGCCACAAGACACATGTCACTCACATGACAATGAAGCAGCTGCAAGTTCAACTGTCATAAAAGAGAGGCAGATAAAAGACCACAGGAGTTCTGAGAAGAAAGTGCTCCTTTAGCTTGGAACTAGAGAGCAGGGGAAGATGGGAAAGGCTCTCTCAAGCAGAAGAGAGTGAGCAAAGGTGTGGTAAGAAGGAAGCTTGTGTAAGAAACAGACAAGGTGAGAAGAGAAAGTTGTGACCAGATCTGGGGAATAGCACTCCCTCAAGGGCTAAGCGAAAAAGCTGGAATCTACTCTGGAAATGAGGTCATGCCCATGAGAGACAGTCTGAAATAACCACATTGGAGGCACAGCATCTTTGGTGCCTTGTTTTTGGGGGTTTTTTTGTTTGTTTGTCTGTTTTTTAGACAGGGTCTTGCTCCATCTTCCAGGCGGAGTGCAGTGGCTCACTGTGGCCTCACCCTTCCAGCTCAAGCGATCCTCCCACCTCAGCCTCCTGGGTGGCTGGGACTACAGGT